AAAAAAATATGCTTTGTGTGATTAAGTGTGATAAGTGTGGATATACCTTGACTATCTTATAAAATTTCGAAATCCTAGATGTCAGATCAGAAAAATATAGTGGGGGAAATGTCTGTTAAAATTTTCATTATAAATGGTGGTGGTGGTGGGGGGCTACTAATTCATTGACTGGTGTTGCTGGTAATGGGTTTCCTTGTGGAAGGTATACTCTTTGAGTAAACCCAGATCTCTGTTAGACCGTGTATGTGGGAGTTTATTTTCAGTGACTTGCGTCTATTTTCCTGGTTGTCGAACCTAAACGCTAAAAGCACGCACCTGACGTCGTCGATGCTGTGGCTGAGGTTGGTTGAAGTGTACGGATACCGGGGAAAATTGCTGTTGTTGTCCCTAATGCTCTTCTTGTGGTTATTCAACCGTACTCGGAATTAAGTTCCGGTTTCTCCCACGTAATTCCCCTTCTCGCATTTGTGGCAGAAGAGTAGATATACGAGATTGGAGCTGTCACAACTTAGAGCAAGTGGTCTAAATACTACGTGAGTGCCGGGGTGTGTGTAGGTGTTTTGAGTGTTGATGTGTTTGCAGATCATGCACCGGGGTTTGTTGCAGATGACATTCCCATGGTGTGGTGCAGTTTTTGGATGATGTTAAAAGTCTGAAGAGGTTGTGGGGGGATGTCGCCTCGCGTGTAGGGGTTTATCCCTAAAGATACTGCTAAGAGTCTTGTCCGACTTTATGTTTTGGAAATCTTAGATGACTCTTACCAGGACCGAAGATTCCGGGCTAATAACATTAATCTCCATGCTTTATTTCTGTCTTGTGATTAACAATATATATATATGTGTGTGTGTGTGTGTGTGTGAAAATATATAGAAAATAGGAAAGAACTTGTTAGGTAAATAATCCAAAGTATTTTTGTTATTATTTTTTAAAAAATAGTGCTCGATACAAAAGTAGAGCATAAATATAATTATTTATTTAAAAATATGATTCCATCTCTACATAAGAGTTCTCATGTTTCAAAACAGGAGCCGAAAATTTCAATATAATTATTTGAATTAAAGTGAATTAAAGTACTAAGCTCTGTTCCATCTTCAAGCATAATTTTTTTTGAATAACTAATTCTTGAAATTTACGCGTTTTATAAGCATATTTTACAATCATAAAAATATATATATATATATATATATATATATATATATATATATATATATTATATATATATATATATATATATATATATATATATATATATATATATAGAGAGAGAGAGAGAGAGAGAGAGGGAGACAGAGAGACAGAGGCGGGAATAAATTTTATTGCGTTTTACACACATTATAAGTTACTTCATGTTTTTATTGATATATAAAATAAATGTTTATTAGTATTTGAAATTTGTTTTACTAAATGAGGGTGAGCCTATTCGCGCGCAGTTAAGATGGAAATCGTTTCGTTCTGCACAACTGCAAAGAAATGTAATGACCAGAATTTTAAAATCTCAAATTAACAATTATTGTTTTGATTTTGCAGTTTTAAAATTAGTCGTAAAGCAAATTGAGGGTTTAAAGAAAAATATTTAATAACTTCAGAATCTGGAAAAGTTAAAATTACACTGAAAAATTACAAAAATGATAAGCAAGTTTCACCGTACTTTTGAATTCAGTTAAATGGACAGGTTAGCCTGGGATATACATGGTCGTCTAAGGGAAAGAAAACTCCGCTAGAAAACCACTTCAGAAATATCCTTGTCACAAAAGCAAAGTTTGAAGGAAATATTAGTCAATTTTTTTTATAAATTGTAGGCGTAAGCAAATGGAAAATAACAAGGATAATAATCGTGTTACACAGTAATAATTAGAAGTCGTTGTCGTCGTCGCCTTCTTCTTCTCCTCATCCTTTTCTTCTTCTTCTTCTTCTTCTTCTTCTTCTTAATAATAATAATAATAATAATAATAATAATAATAGTAATAATAATAATCGAATGGACATGCCACGGAACAAAAGTTATCCTCAATCGTTTTTTTTTCACCAACGAACCACCCTCGACGTGCCAAACGGTTATAGCAAAGGTTTGGTTGTTATTGGTGAAAACAACCTTTACAGGTTGAGACGTGTAGGGATATTATTATTATTATTATTATTATTATTATTATTATTATTATTATAAATAAATAAATAATAATGGAAATTATGAAAAAATAAAGCAATAACATAAAACGTTGTATAAAATAAAATAAATTAAATTAAATTAAAAAGAATAAAAATACTCCCAGGATGAAACAAAACCTGTTCTTTCCGGAAATACAAACATGCTGCCAAAAGACGTTAAATTCATTCTCTTCGCCACGGACCCTGGTACGGGCAACACGTGTCCGACTTCTCTCTGTGATATGCCTTGTAATACTACGGAGCAAATTTTCCCTTTTATCACATGTACCATAAAGCAACTGTAGCCTAAAAAATACATACAGCAATACACACACAAAATTATGAATAAATTGTATGAAATTAACGTAAAATTTATCATGTTTTTCTTGTTATTTGTGTACGTTTTATTTCTTGTCAAGTATGCTTTTATCTTCGTGACCACAAGTCTAATTTCTGCTGCTATGATGTGAGTGAATAACCACCCACAGACGTCAACAAAACAGTGGTGGTTTCTCATAAGTAAATGTGCTGCATCACTATCCTACTAAGAGGTTATAAATATTGATATATTACAACGGACTTTTTAATAAATATTGATATATTACAACGGACTTTTTAATTTGGGTCGGATGACTGATAAGTTCATGAAAATCAGGGTTGTATTGTTTGGTGATGTAAAATATGTATTTACTCTTAGTATATCTCGTTTGTCTCTGTTTGGACAAAATTCAATCTTTTTTTGGATAGCGTCTGGATTATCTTCTCAGTCTGATCTTTGCATGGTAGACTCATCTGCAGGTGTGGCAGACGAAGCTGAAATGTAGAACGAATGTCTTAATGTCATCCTTCCACTTTGTGCCTTGTCTTCTGACCTCCATCTGTTGGTCTCACTTTCTCCTGTCCTTCATGAGACATTCCTGAACAGCATGGGGTCAATCGCTGTGTTCGTCTGCTAGCGGTTCCTAGATATCTGGGAGGACGCCTGTGAATTTCAGGTATCTCATGCAGAGATTCTTGAAACGTAGTCCAGGGCGGCTTGTTAGTCGCTATCCTGTGTCCAGCACTAGTTGTATATAACGTCTTTTGGTTTATGACTGCCATTCACTCGATTTTCATGACCCAACTTTCGAATACGATATCGACAGAGGAAGTGATTCATGCCCCGAGAGTAGTGTTGGTAACTTTGTCACTCCATGTAACGTCGAAGCTTTGCATTTCTATTTTTTAACAGCAAGTTTCACCCTGTACAAGGCCCGGGGGTCACGCGAAGTAGAGGGTTACATAAAGAGGCATTTTTTTACGGATAGAAGGGAAGATAACGGTGAACCCTACACTTGATTAACAGATATAAATAGACTGTGATAGATAGATAGATAGATAGATAGATAGATAGATAGATAGATAGATAGATAGATAGATAGATATAAACAGACTGTGATAGATAGAGAGATAGATAGATAAATAGATAGATAGATTTATAGATAGATAGATAGATATAGCTAGATAGATATAAACAGACTGTGATAGATAGATAGATAGATAGATAGATATAAACAGACTGTGATAGATAGAGAGATAGATAGATAAATAGATAGATAGATTTATAGATAGATAGATAGATATAGCTAGATAGATATAAACAGACTGTGATAGATAGATAGATAGATAGATAGATAGATAGATAGATAGATAGATATTAACATATATAGCTAGATACATATAAACAGACTGTGATAGATAGATAGATAATGGACACAGATTGATAGATATGGATAAACTGAGATAGATAGATAGATAGATAGATAGATAGACAGATAGATATAAACAAACCGACAGAGATCGATAAACATACTGTGTTAGATAGATAGATAGATAGATAGATAGATAGATAGATAGATAGATAGATAGATATTAACACACCGAGATAGATGAATAGATAATAGATACATAGATATGAACGCACTGAGATAGATAGATAGATAGATAGATAGATATGAACAGACTGAGATAGGTATAAACAGACTTATAAATAGATAGATGTATAAAGACTGTGATATATAGATATGGACAGAGATTAATAGATAGATATGAACAAACTGATATATATATATATATATATATATATATATATATATAAAGTATTCTTATAGTTATTTATTTGTCCATCCATCACAGTCTATATATATATATATATATATATATATATATATATATATATATATATATATATATATATATATTCTTAAACAGACTGTGATGGATGAACAGATATAAAGAGCTATAAGAATACTGATAGAAATATAGACATAGGTAGATATGAACACACTGCGGTAGATAGATAGATAGATAGATAGATAGATAGATAGATAGATAGATAGATAGATAGATAGATATGAACTCATTGATATATCTCACAGATAGTTAAAACAGACAGAGTAGGATGTAGAAATTGATATTAGTATTCTATTATTCATATAAGGTGAATGAAATTTGGCGTATTTGTATCTCTGGTTCTTATCTACACAAGCAAACTGGAATACAAATCAGTTTATTTTATGAAAATTTGATTTGTATTCCGAAATTGACAAATAATAGCAGGAAGGAATATTTTTCTCTGTGTTTCTTCATGCCGGCGTCGACTTTTGGCGAACGTCCATACAGTTAATTACCAAAGAGAAAATCGACCGTCTGCTTGCAGATACTGTTGAAATTGGTACGAAACTTGGATCAATATCTTGAGAGATCGATGCAGATATATGTCGATACGTGTAGTCTTATTTGCAGAATTGATCAATCGGTGAATTTTTGAATCTGTCGATATATTGGGATTACTGATAGACAGGAAATTAACGTTAATGAAACAGATCTATCTATCTATCTATCTATCTATCTATCTATCTATCTATCTATCTATCTATCTATCACAGTCTGTTTATAACTATCTATATATATATATTTATGTTCATATCAATCTATCTATCTAGCTAGGTAGCTATCTATCGCAGTCTGTTTATATCTATCTATCTATCTATCTATCTATCTATCTATCTATCTATCTATCACAGTCTGTTTATATCTATCTAGCTATATATTTATGTTCATATCTATCTATCTATCTATCTATCTATCTATCTATCTATCTATCACAGTCTTTTTATATCTATCTAGATATATATCTATGTTCATATCTATCTATCTATCTATCTATCTATCTATCTATCTATCTATCACAGTCTATTTATATCTATGTAGCTATATATTTATGTTCATATCTATCTATCTATCTATCTATCTATCTATCACAGTCTTTTTATATCTATCTAGATCTATCTATCTATCTATCTATCTATCTATCTATCTATCTATCTATCTACACATATACAGATGTGCGAATTGTCTAAATTACACAAAAATGAAAATAACACCTTCATCTCATTTTAACAGATATATTTATCAAAATTACACAAACATATCTTGAAATATTAAAGAGTACATTTATTCAATAAAATCGCCATTGGCTTCAACCATGGACTCCAGACGACTTCCTGATCTCCTCTCCATCTCTTCTTGACGGTCTCCTTGTTTAATTTGGTTAATGCTGCCAAAATCCTTGTCTTCAGTTCACCTTTAGTGTTACAACAAGATTTGCTGGTCTCTCGATTAACTGTGCCCCACACATAATAATCAAGGGGGTTGCTCTCTGGGGAGTTAGGTGGCCAGATGTAAGGGGTGATGTGGTCGCAGAAACTGTCTTAGAGACATAACTTTGTTCTCCTGCCTGTTTGGCAAGGTGCAGTCTTATTTCCGGAGATAGGGTCTTCTAGCAGCTACCCTCTTGACCCAGAGCAGCACTACCACCCCAAGGCACTTGGTGTAGGTCTCCGTGTTGAGTCTGAGACTCTGTGAGAAGATGAATGGAGGGATAACGTTCCCATCACTAGTGATCACACGAAACTCCATGATGTTGACTGCATATATTATCCAAATCTTTTCGAATCCTCTTGACTGTCTTCAGATTGGCACAAAAATATTGTGAAAGGTTCGTATTAGAGCTTCCTGACAAGCAGTACAAGATTCCATTTCCAATTTTCTTGCGGACTGAATTCCATCATGGTGCATTTTTTTCTCACAGACGGTGCCCAATTGACACTACTATACCGTGCAGTTGACAAAATCCGCGGGAAATTGAAGAATTAAAAATATAAAATGTCGACAATTAACCCATCACACCCTGTACACACACACACACACACAGAGAGAGAGAGAGAGAGAGAGTGCTGTTCGATAAAAGTGACTCCACTGATTTTTTTACTAAATGTTCTCGTCTCCGATGAAACGAAAGTTGAGTTAAATTCAAACGATAAGCGATCTAAAATCTGAAGAAGAAGCTTTGAAAGCTCTTTGAATTTAGCAATAAGTACTGTCAAGCATCCGTTCAGTATAATGTTCTGGGGATGCTTTTCTTTTCATGGAACTGGTTTCTTAAAACCTATTGAAAAGACCCTCAGGAGCGAGCAGTACAAGAGAATTTTAGAGTCTTGTCTGCTCCCTTTTGCTGAAAGGGTGCAAATCGACCCCACCAAGCTCATTTTTATGTAGGATGATGTTCCCTGTCACAAATCGAAATTGATGAAGGAATACTTTGATGAGAAGAAGGTGAGTGTTATTACATGGCTGCCCTAATTTCCTGACCTCAACCCCACAGAAAACTTATGAAGCATTATAAAGTACAGGCTCTCGAGAAAGCAGTTGAGCAACATGCTCGGAGAAGAGAACATTTAGTAAAAATAATCAGGTGAGTCACTTTTATGGAACAGCACTGTATATAGGTGTTTGTGTTCATCATCTATCTATCTAGCTAGCTAGGTAGCTAACTAGCTAGCTTATCTATCTACCTATCTATCTACCAGCCTTTGATATGCCGCTAAACACAACGAATCAACCAAACAGCCAATATTAAATAATTCTTTCATGACATTAATACATATAATATCCAATAATTTCTTAAAGAAATCAAGCTGTATTTCAAAATATAACTTCAGCAAAATTACAACACAAGACACACATATCACCGTCACTAGTAATTATGTCCATACAAACCTGTATATGCACAAAAGCTGAGTGTCATGTACCATGTACTCAACTGTGAAAACAGAATAACATTTTTAATTCTTAAAAGCTCTTAAGATAATTAAATTTCGTTATTAAATAACCCATAAAGTAGTTGATAGTTCATTAAACAGACAAATCTATCTATCTATCTATCTATCTATCTATCTATCTATCTATCTATCTATCTATCTATCACTTATCTCACTCTATCTTATCTGTTAATCACTATCTCACTCTATCTAT